AAAAAAATTAAAATATATAATGTTAGTTTACCGCCATGACTACCTATAACAGGCATTGTTAAATTGTCATCACTATCACTTGTAACATATATTTTTGCTTTACTATGAGCCCATTTGATTCTCATTATTCGGAAAAAGAATGAGTTTGATTAGTAGTTTAAGAAGAATTTGTGGTTAAAAAGAACGAAAACGTTTTTTATATACATGTAGAATATTTTATTGTGTGAATATATGGTTGAAAATGATCTTGTAGCAAATCATAAAATAAATTAATGAGTATCAAATAGGCACTACAAGTCATAACTATCACTTGTAACATTCATTACTGCATTGTCATCATTACTGCCTTCGTCATCGCCATTAGCACTTGTAACATTATTAGTACACCACCTCAGTTGTCTTAGCCACCGTCCACTAAAAAGCCACCATACTGAAATTATCAATTGCATTGCCAAAATCACTATCACTATCTCCACCTATTTCCACCACCGCAACTACCACCTTCAATGCTACCTGGCCAATCGTGACCCTGGCCAAAAGTAACCTAGGCCATTGCCTAGTGTCTGAAAAAAATTTAAACGCTTAGAAGGCCAACCAAAATTTTACTTATTTTTTTTATTTGGATCCTCTATTCTTTTAAAAAGTCACAACAAAACAAAAAGATGGGACTAAATAAGAAGTCCAAAATACTTGGATACTTACATCCTTGATTTAAGGAATAAAATGGACCTACAATTACTAGGGAAATTTTCATGTTTAAAAGTTTAACAATGATTCTTTTCAAAACTGAGAAACAAGGAAGAATTTATTTTTTATTTTTGGCTACGATAAATGGCTGAAATTCTACATGTTAGGATGAACAATATAGCCTAGGTCATTTTTGTTAAATAATACCATTATTATGCTAATTACTTATTGTGTGTTAATCTAATTCAATTGCTTGATCTCTAATTGATTAATATGGGGATTATATTGAGATCAAAAGATAATATACATGTCTAGCTCATACAATAGGAACATAAACTTGGATGAAAAATTGAGTGATACTCCTACATGTTATGCTACCTTTAAATTGAAAATTTCTTTGAATTAATGCATGTTATGTGTTGGAACTTACATAGAGATGTAGTGAGTTTGCGCATTTAAGTAGGGTTAATTTTTTTCGAATTAGATTATTAGTTTATTTGAACAATTTGATTTTTAACACTCGTATGTAAGGTTATTGTATGTTAAACGAAATTAAGCATAAATTGACTTAAGTGAAATTAGAATTGCTAACAATTAAATCTCATTAAAACCTTTCGTGAAGTTTTAAAGTTTTTTATTTTTCAGTTAAATTTTAATTACAGATTTTAGTTTTATTTCCACATATCAAAACATAATCGAAATAAAGTTCGTTCAAACACCAATTATAGTTAAGTAAATTGATAGTTCATAGCATTAAGTTCTCAGGTAACAATACTTGGACTCATATCCATATTATTGCTTGTCATGATACCATACACTTTTACTTTATTCGAACATTTAACATAGCAATGCTGCTTTATTTATTTTATGAATTAACTGCTGCTATCCAATCACAAGGCTTATTTAGGCGTCGTCTTCAATCTTGAAATCCAACAATTCTTGCGGGACCCACACCTTAGCTTCACACTCTTTATTCTTGTTGATCACGCAGTTGAACGCCTCCGGGGTTATAATGAACCTGAAGCCTTCAAGCATTTCTTCCCTATTCCATTTGATTAGCTTCACAAATTTCAGAACTTGTGCATCCGCAATCATAAAGGAACGCAAATAAATGAGATTTCAGACTCAATTCGAAAATTTCATACCATCATGAAAATCACAGGTAATTATAATTAATATGATGCAAAGAATAATCATTTTTGAATATTAACAAAATCAACACAGAAACCCGGTGGGGGACCTGTTTATTGTTGTATTCATAAATAGCAAATTCAGCGAGATATTTAATATATTCTTTCGGGAAGGACGGGATCTTTTTTCCAGAGGTGGGCATGGCTGCCATTCTCACAGATAACTGAATTTTTTTGCTAAGAAAACTCTCTCTTTCTTTTCTTTTTGTGTGTGAATAATTGAAGGCAGTTCAAGTGATTTATATAGAGACTGGGGAAGGGTGAAACTTGCAAACAGAATCAAATGAAATACACATGAAAGATTTTCCACATGTGGTCTATATTATAGAATAAATTCTGTTTAGAAGTGGTTGGCTTTCAACGCTTGTCTCGGTTGGACATGGTTTGGTTTTGATCGTTTTCGACTCCAACTCAAAACCAAAATCAAATTAGTTGGTGATGAGGTTCATGCGGAGGACATAGGCAGTTGCGTAGATTGAACGCTTGGATGGTTAATGTTGAAAAAAATTAGCACAACTTTTGCATACGATGTACGTTTTGGGCCCATAACCCCATTCCGGAAAGCTCACGACGATTTTGGATGAACTCACACCTTTGACATGACGTATGATGGATATTGACAGTTTGAATTCGTTTACTGGGTCAAAACGACATTTAAAGTTTCTTAATTTATTATTTTCAGTATTTGTTATTCTCGCTTTGTAGGCCAGCCCATTAAGGGAATGCTGGCCCAATAGGTTATCTGTTCTTTTGCATTTAAGACTCTAAAATGTCTCCTATGGTTTTTGTTGTTCATGAAATGAAAAAAAAGTTTGTTTCTTCAGTTCAATCTATTTGAGTTGCTAGTATCGTGTGTGTGTCGATTCGATCTACATCAGTGGGTTTGCGTAAATTTCAATCCTCTACCTCAGGCCCAGCATATTAGGGGGCCCAATAAAATCTTGGAGCCCTATTTTTTTTATTTTTAAATTTATATTAAGAAACCCAACTTCAACATTTCAGACTTGCAGTCTTGCAGTATTAGTGTATTACGTCTTCTGCTGCACTGCAGTCACCAGTTGCCTCTCCAGTCCTCCCTACGTGACTACGTCTGCAACTCAACTCAAGTACTCAAGACTCAACCACTTCTAAAAGACTAAAACCTACCGGCGACGACACAGTGAGGCGAGTGACACTGTGACAGCATCTTCCGGCTCCGGCTCCTGTGGCGATTTTTTATTATCGAATGGACTCGAGTCACTCGACATTAGGAAAGGTAAGGACTACCGTCTATGGAGTGCCACTGTGCCAGTATTTTAGATCCCGAATCTTTAACTTCTTTTTCTAAATTTGAAAAACTTTTAGGTTAGTTTTTTAAGAAAATAGTGGCTGAATTTTGTTTCGCTCCTTTGCGGGTTCAGATAGTGGCCAAAAATGTCTAACGGGGAGGCCGAAAACAATGGAGAAGGCGCAAGCAACTTTTCTGTTGTGGGTAGAGTTGCCGAGTTGGAGATTGTTGAGTGTTGAGGCAGTTTCTTACTTCTTGGTACGTTTTATATTCAAAATGCTGAAATTTAGTTTACCAGTCACCAGTGCAATGATGTGATCTGCTTTGCAACTTAGCTATGAGGAGCATACTTGGCATTATTAAATTTTATTTGATTGAGCTATTAAACAATGTCTCACTTAAATGGTCGTAAAGATGATTTATATAAGTGATGCATTTCTGAATTTGGATTTAGGTGCTTGCTGTATGTTAAATTATCTTATTTCATTTACTGTGTTATATTGTTGGAATGTTGTATAAAGGAAAAAACCTTGTTTATCAAATATTTGTTTCAAAGAACTTTAGGACAAATAGTTTAATGTGATGAATTTGTACATTGTTCTACATGTCTTAAAGAGCATTAATTCACTCATTGAAGTAAAGAAGGTTGCAAGAAATACCTTATTTCATTTACTGTGTTATGCTGTTGGAGTGTTGTAGAAAGGAAAAAAACTCAATTAATGTACTTCATTTGAATTAATTACCTGTGGATGAATGATGATTATACGTACAAAAAAAGAGGAGGTAGAATTTAAAAGTAACTTCTTTCTTATAGCAATAATGATGTTGAATTTATTGAATCGAAAATCAAAGGTATCATGAAAATATTTGGCAAATAAAAAGTTTTGGGTAAGTGAGATTCAAAATTTCAAATTGATTTATTTGTCTATTTGTTGCATCTTGGTGAATGATGGCTTATTCCAATTCTATTTGAATTTTTAATCTTAAATTAATCTAACTTGAGCCTCTTTTACTCTCAAATTTCAGTAAGTGTTTGTTGTTGAGCGGCTTGAATAAAATACTATGGCACCTAAATATGCGTCGGGAGCTCAAAAAAGGAAGAAGAAGAGTAGAGGCATTAATTCGAAGCCAAGTTGGAGATGTGGATAAATACTTTAATGGCAAGAAAAGAAAAGAGAAAGAAGAAACATCCGAAAATTTAACGATTGAAGAGCAACTAAATCAGAATGATATTGATAATGATCATGTGGATGAACAGAAAGAGAACAAGGAAATTATTGAACCTGAAAATATGGATGAGTCAAAATAGAATGATGAAAATCATGTTCAACATGAAGATTTAAATCAAGAGAATTGCTTCTCTTTGAATTTTAATGATCCTGGAAATTGGAAGGATATTCACATTGATCAAAAGATAAGAGACTTTTTAGTTGAAGTGGGTCCAAAAAGAGTTGATGACATCTTCTTTCCCAGAGATAATAAAGGTAGACATTTTGAATCATCACAATATAAGCGATTAATGGCAAATGGGCATACAATTGATAGAAGATGGTTAGTGTTTTCAATTTCTTTGGATAAGATCTTCTGTTTTTGCTGCAAGTTATTTAAGACAGAAAAAATGGACAAAAATATTGGCCAATTGGGTAATGACGGATACAATGATTGGCATAATATGCATCGGCGTCTTACACATCACGAAGTGTCTAAGGAGCATATAGGTTGCATGATTAGTTGGATGGAATTGGAAAATAGGCTTCAAACAAAACATACAATTGTCCATCAACAAAGAAAGAGAGCATTGGAGACAAGTGTTAACGAGAATAATTGCTATTGTGAAAAGACTTGCTAAAAATACTTTAGCATTTCGAGGAGATTGTGAGCAACTTTATGTTGAGAACAACGGACTTTTTTTGCAAATGATAGAAATGGTTGCCGAGTTCGATCCAATAATGGAAGAACACATTCGACGTGCCCAAGCACGCGAGATTCAGTATACATATCTAGGCCCTAAGATTCAAAATGAATTGATACAAATGTTAGCAGGCGAGGTGAGAAGTGCAATTGTCACAAAAGTGAAACATGCAAAATATTTTTCCGTCATACTTGATTGTACTCCAGATGCGAGTAACGAAGAACAAATGTCTCTAGTAATATAATGCGTGGATGATTCAATAGACTCGCCGATGGTACAAGAATATTGGATTGAATTTTTGAAGGTGGATGATGCATCAGGATTTGGACTTTTCATCGAGCTTAAAAATGTGTTAAAAGAATCTTAAGCTTGATATTGATAATATAAGAGGTCAAGGGTATGACAATGGAGCTAACATGAGCGGGAGACAAAGAGGTGTACAAAAAAGGTTACTTGAAATTAATCCTAGAGCTTTCTATACTCCATGTGGTTGCCGTAGCCTTAATCTAGCATTATGTGATATGGCAAATTGTTGTTCGAAAGCTATGTCTTTTTTTGGAGTGATACAACGAATCTACACATTGTTCTCTTCTTCTCCCAAACGATGGAAATTTTTTAAAGATAAGGTTCAAGGTCTGACACTTAAGCCATTGTCGCAGACACGCTGGAAAAGTCATGTGGAAAGCGTCAAGCCTATAAAAGAACAATCTGTACAAATAAGATATGCTTTACTTGACTTGGCAAGCATTGTTGAAGATCCTAAAACAAAACGTGAAGCTGAGTCCTTAGCAATATATGAACTTGAAAATTTTGAGTTTTTACTTGGCATAGTAATTTGGTATAAGTTGTTGCATGCAATCAATACTGTGAGTAAATTTTTTCAAGCCGAAAACATGGATATTAATGAAGCCATCAAACTTTTACAAGCACTTATTTCATTTCTCGAAGATTATAGAGAATCTGGGTTTGCCAGTGCCATGGATGAAGCTAAACAAATGGCAAGTAAAATGGGAATTGAAGCTGTATTTCAAAAGAAACGTAGCATTCGAAGAAAGAAACAATTCGATGAAAGTGGCACTGAAGAGATAACATACTCGGCTGAAGATTCTTTTAGAGTTGAGTATTTTCTCTTTATAATTGATCAAGCTCGATCATCACTTCAAACTTGTTTTGAACAATTTACACATTATGAAGAGATATTTGGATTTTTGTTTAACATGGATAGATTAAAGATTATGCCAGTTGACAGTTTGCTGAAATCTTGTATGAATCTTGAGCAGTATTTAGAACATAATGGACATTCAGACATTATAGGTGATGATTTATGTTCGGAGTTGATCGTCTTGAGGTGCTATTTAACTAGCGAAACAAAAAGAGCAATTGATGTGCTACATTACTTGAAGAAAATGAATGGTTGTTTTCCGAATGCTTGCATTGCTTACAAGATTTTGCTCACCATCCCGGTTACAGTTGCATCAGCAGAAAGAAGTTTTTCCAAGTTGAAATTGATCAAGACTTATATCCGATCAACTATGTCACAGCAAAGATTGAATGGTTTAGCCATGTTATCAATTGAAAAAGAAATGGTTGAACTACTCGACTATACAAAATTGATCGATATTTTTGCCTCGAAAACTGCAAGACGAGTTGTATTTAAGTGATCTTTTAGAACATTTTCACGTTATTATTCGATTATAATATACATATTTTAAATATTTCATTTTTTTGATTTTTGACAAATTTAATTCCTTAAATCTCTTATAAATGAAAAAAAATTAATTGCTTGCTATGATTTATGGGCCCAAAATTTGAATTTCGCCTCAGGCCCTGCAAAATGCAGGTCCGGCCCTGAAAGTAGCCCTCATGTGTTCCATTCGTCCCGGTTTCTGACAATCACATTAATAAATTCCAAAGAACGTAAATATAAATGATAACTGAGGAAGATAATATTAAAAGAACCATCAAGAAACAACGAGAAATAAAGAAACTTACGGGAAAGATCGTTGGGATGGTACTTGTAGAGATCAACATCTTTTATGGCATCAATCGATATATGTTTATTCAGAATCCTGAGGTTCAAGTAGTGTAATAGTTCCTTGTCGGTCGGCTTGAATCGGTAACCGGGCGGAATATTTTCTTCAACGTGAAAAGTAGAACCTTCTTGTGCGGCCATGACAACGTGTTTGCCTTTATCAATTGTTTCTGGAAGTAACAGTAGAATTAAACGCAGAGATATTGTATTGATTAGGAGTATTATATATGGAGAGAGATAGATGGATAGAGTTAGAAGAGGATTACTATTCTGATGCAGTTAGGTCATTACACTTTCCATGCACAATCTCTGTTTATACGTACACATAGAATTACATATCGTGTATAGAATATGATTTCCTGATTGGTTGTTCATATGGAATAATTGTCTGACGTGGAATAGGAAGAACGAGAGGATTTCGGAGGGAAAGAAGTTCTGTTTTTAATACCAGAACTGAAAGAAGGAAAGGAAGAGGAAAGCTCTGTTTTTACTCGTACCCAGGTTGCCAAGGTTTAAAAAATAATAATTAAAATAAAATAAAAATCAGTCATTAAATAATGCACATTTCGGTGATAATTATTTGTGAGTCGAATTTTTTTTTTAATACTGTACTTTAAATCAATTAAATGAAATTAGCAGAATTTGACAGCCCGGGTCTGATTATTTGGGATTCAAGCAATTACCCAAACAACAATAATAAATGAACACTTTTAATTAATCAATTCTACGTTTTTTTTTCCTTTTCTGTGTATTTAGGATTTAAGTAATGATAGGAGAAAAATATTTAGAACTCTAAGACGGGTCTAAAGTTATCTAATGAGTTCTAAATACTGATATGTCAAAAATAGTTTTTAAATTTTGAGACTCGATGATTCGAATCTTTATTATTTACTAATTAGTGTTATATCTTAATAATAGATTTAAAATAAATTTTTATAAAAATTAATCGATGTCCTGAACTTCAATTTTTATCGACCTTTTTAGATAAATTATATAGATACCAAAATTGTCTTTGAGATTAATAAATAACACTTCATATTATCTATACATTAATTTTACCATTTCATAAAAACATCTCAGCCTAGAAACTTTTTGAATACCACTGCAATTGAATTATTCACTAAAATCAACAAATAATTTTATGGATAAGTATCTTTACTCATTATACCTATTTACCGAATTTTACTATATCATCTAAATTTTAAATTTATATTTCTATTTGTAAAGGATTCACAAAATCATCAAATTGGTGATCAAGTAATTTAATACATTAAATCCATAGTAAAATCAACACAGAGAAAAAAAAAAACCAAGAATCCTAATTAAAAACATAAAGGATCCCAATAAGGTCACATTATTGCACTAACAAGAATTTTAACCATTCATAATAGAGGAAGAAAAACAAATAACAATAGTGAGGTCTATCACCGGGTTTTGAATTTAGATGTAGAGGAGTGGATGAATCTTGCACCAAGTTCTTCTTCTCGTTCCAAATCTTGATTTCAAACCCTTGAATGATTGCTTTTCTCGTTTTAAATTTGCTCTCTAATTCTCAAATTTGTGTTCTTGCCTCTCAATGTGTAGAATCCCCATCTCAAAGAGTGAAAAAATTGTATTTATAGGTGCTTCCTTCGTGTGTAGAAAGTATGGTTTCTATGGCTTCAAAAAGGGCCAAAAATGTACCCTAGATGCACCCAAGTGGCGCCTCGATGCCATATAGCGGTGCTGCGGTGCCTTGTCTCTGTGCCACCTCTCAGGTAGGAAATCAGCACAACGTTTCCTTTAGTATTTTTATCATAAAATTTCCTCCTGAAATCTGATTGAGACAATTCAAGTTAGGTTGTAAAACTAACTCAAAAGGCTATAACTTTGCTTCAAATAGCTATTTTCCAATTCGAATGTTTACCAAGTAAAAAATGAGTTTTAATCTTGAACTGAAAATTCAGAGCGTACTTAAGCGGTTAGAAATCAACGCCATGTCCATTTCTTGTTTATATTTCGTTCCTTTTGACTTCTAATTGTATCCAATTGACCTATAGCATTCTCAAATCTTCATCATAAAGTTCAACAAAACTTTTGAGTGTTTAAGTATTGGTCCCCGAAATTTGGATCTCTTACAACTTAGCCATTTTATCCAATTTTGTCAACTTTTTTGCTTATTTCCTTCAATCTCATCAACCTATACCACAACATCAAAAAACGCATTAAAGCGCTCTAAAACTCATAAGAATAAGCTAAATATCAAGTTTAAATGGTACCTAAAGTATGAGTGAAATACACTCATCAAGATATAATCAGGAAGTACACGAATTGTATTATTAATATCATATACAGAATGACCATTGTATCTTCAAAATTCATACAAATTACTAATTAAATTATAAATGTCCAGTCGAAATCATCCTTGTATCTTCAAAAAACTTTTACAACTCACCAGTTAAATTCTAAATACCAAACAAAAAATTGACCTAACGATCTCTAAAACTACACAAATTGTTGGTAAATTAACTTCCATATAACCGAGAGAGTAAGATTGCTGAGGATTACCGGTAACGAGGCTGGACTCTGTGGAGTTCGGTTTGAAATAGGGTCCACTCACATCATTTGAAAAGGAAAATGTTAAAAATGTATTAGCAACTAAAATAATAAAAATAGGGGTGAAATCAAAACGGCAAAATCGGGGAACTAAGGAGAGACGGGGAAGTGGATGAGGCCATGTATAAAAGAATCTTTGCATTTAGGGAGAAAATTGGGATAGAAGAAGAGAAGTACATGGAAGCGATGGATTCCATATGGGTGGTTGGATTTTTGTGTATAAATTTCAGTATTTGATGATACGTGGAGTATCAATGGACATGGTCCAATTTGGATTCGAACGAATTTTTGGGGTTTTAATAAGTGGAACCGTTGGGTCCAAATTTAATTATACAATCGTTCGGTTTTTGTTTTATTTGATTCAATTCAGTTAGATTTCATTTAGTCCAGGGCTCCATACAGTAGTTAAATTTTTGAATATCTAAAATACAACTACATTAATTCAACTAATGATATTTTTAATCTTAATTCTTATAAAATAACGATGTCTAATCTTATATATATTTTGCACCTCTCTTTGTTGAGTGCTTCATAGATTTGATTGTTAGAATCAAGGGAAGAGAAATGTAATGAGCTCACAATGATAAAGAGAGGTATAGTCGGGCTTCCAATTTGATTGCTCCAGAAATATGGAAATGGCACTACTATAAAATGATAGATATTGGTAAAACTTATGTTAATTTGATTAAATTGGGTTGGGGTGGAAATTAGAAATATGAAAATTATATTTAGGGTTTGGGTTAAATTAATTTGTTAACAAATTTATTTAGATAAAAATAAAATAATTTGGCTTATTTAATATAAATAAATTACAAAATTTGAAATATTGGGTCATTATTTGGTTCTTTGGTTCTTGGTCTAGAGTTTCTCGATTCAGATACATATTCGAGTACTTAATTTAAGAAGAACGCTAAGTTCAATCCTGTTTGAGTCGGATTTGGTTCGGTCCGATTTAGTTCGAGAGTTTTATCCAATCATAACGTGGAGTTCCAAAAATTCAAAATGGAGGCTATGGAGAATAACGAAAATAGAGGTTTTCGCAATGAGTTAGATTTGTTTTCCAATTTTTGCTGTCTAATTCGCTAACCACTAATTATTTTACATTAAAATGTCACCTATTTTTAGATATAAGGTATAGTTAGAAAAATATTGAACATATTAATTTAAAATGATGTGTCAATAATTAATTGAATATACGACAAATTGGTAAACAAAAAATTGGACAAATGATCTCAACTCTTTTGCAACAAGGTTGGGTGGTTGTGGGTTGTTGCTGTGAAAACATTTGGGAATTGGATACTTTAGAGAGAATGGAAAAGTTGGTGGGAAGGGAAAATTCGAAAGGGAGGGAAAATCAAATGAGAATAAAAATTGGTCGGTCAAATTTTGCTTTTAAATTTAGAATTTATTAAACCAATTATAAATATATATGTATTTAATTGGTAAAGAATATTTTAAATAATTAATAATCATTTTCATTTTATTGTTTATTAATCATTTTAACATTTATCTAAATTTTAATATTAATAGATCATATTAAATGCAATCCAGAAGATTCTTTCATAGATTCGATTCAAAATTACGATCCTAAATGTTTTGGTTACATATAGTTATGACATCAAATCCTTATGTCATCTAAAAATCGGAAGGTATATTTTATTGTACTTCAGTTTATCAAATTTGTTTTTCCTTTTTTCTGAGCCTTTTATTGTACTTCGTTCCTTTTTTTTTTTAATTCTTTTGAATTTAATTCCCAGTTTTTAAAAAATATTATCTGTACAAAAATTAAAAATGACTTTATCTAAATAGTTAATTAAGATTTATGCTACGATACTATCTACGTTGTGTAATTAAGATTTTGAGACTCGTTATTTTATTGAAAACTTCGAAAATATGTATGAAGTTCCAATAAATTTGTGAATAAGGATTTGTCTAAATGACAATTGAAAATATAAAAAATAACCTAACTTTTGCATTTCGAAAACTTAAAAATTGTATGATTTATTAATTAAATATAGGATTTTATAATATTAG